TTCGCTGATTTTTCTTCTGATCGCACGCAAAAATCAGCAAAATTTTAGACCGAAATTGCACAGCACTGTTATTATTATTGCATTTGCAATCATTACATACAATTATTATTTCCTCGAAGGGAAATTTTCAGCAGGAGCTGCAGTATTGAACTCAATGTATAATTTTTTGTATTAAATTCTAAAGGAGGCATCTAAAAATGCATTTTTTTATTCTATGTCATACTTCATGATTTAAAATCCTGAAAGTAACGCGTAACGCATAACGCCTGAAGCACGCGGCACTTTAGGGGATTGGCCTGTGAAGCGGTCAGGGGGCGTGCCTCCTAGTATATATCCTCACGATGGGAACGTATTATTTGCGATTTTAAAGTGTGAAAAAACGCCGATTTACCGAATGGCCACTTAATATTTCTGGCGACTTAAACGCACGGTAAAGAAAAAGCAACTCAGCAAATAGATCCTCAAACCATTAAAATATTCTCCTCGTATACAGGAGATCCCTATAAAAGGGATAAAGAGAGTCTTAAATTTTATGAAATGCACTCAGTTAATGAGAATAATACCAACACGGCGAGACCGTTCTTAATAGTTTCACGGGTTAGCAAAATTTGCAAAAATAGAAAAAAACGCTACTGCAGGTAATTGAAATTAAAATTTTGTGGTAAAAACTTTTTTTTGCAGGAAAATTCTACGACATTTTGTCTGGAAAAAAACTTGACCTTTTCCTGCTCAACTCGACCCATGTGTAACATCCACTGATGTTATGCTCCCCGAGTTGTTGCTAAAAGGCCAAATGGAAAAAATTAGCAAAATGTTAGCAAAATTAGCAACTGGACACGGGGACGCGTTTTTTTTTTTGGTCAAAAAAAGACTCACCTATGCTTAAAGAAGATTAATTTTTAATTTTTAACACTGATGTGGTCCACTTTTTTTTGCAAATTAAAATCCCGCCTTCGGGATAGGTCAGAATTGAGTTTCTGAGGGTTATAACTGTAAAGGCTACTCTCGGCTAGAGTAGTTTCCAAACGGTTATTAATCAAGTAATCCATTCGCGGAAAATAATTAAAACTTCCAATTCTAATTACTAAAAAAGTGTAGGAGGGCTCTCCCGCAATATATCAACAATTCCCAGACCCCCATCGCATGGCACGCACATATCCGGCCAATTTTTCAAACGGACAAATTGCGCACGGGTCAGAATTTGCCGGAGTCTATCGGCGGAAGACTGCCCATATCCGAAGCGGGTCTACCGTTGCGTCGCGGCTATAAAGCGTAAGGATGTGCGGCCGGCGGTGATGAATGAGTGATGAGCAGGCACCGTGATACTATGGATCCGCGCACAGATGAATGGATGACTTGTTGACTGATTGACTCACTTGTTTGACTGACTGATTGACTCCGGAATGACAAATCGAGAGTAAGCTAGATTGTTTGGTCCAGTCGTCTCTCTGCTGTCAGACCGATACAGTCGAGAACACACAAATGCATGCGTAGAGGATTTCTCGAGGCTATTTGGATCGCAAAAATCCTACAATTTTTTCTAACTATGTTGAAAGCTCTGCAGACTCCTCCGCCTATCTTTTCCATCGTAGGTTTTTACCTCTAACTTTGGCCATATTTTTAAAAACGCAAACGGAGGACTTTTTTAAAAATTACTTTCAAGGGAATAACTGGATCAATACTCTCTCTCTTTTTTCTTTTTTTTTTATTTGTATCTCAGAAATGCATAATTTTACAAATACTTTACAAGTCTTATCATTTAAATATCATTCATATCATATTAATTCAAGATTCACTTCAATTAAGTGTTTGCGTCCCGAGACACGCCGGAATTACCGGCGTGTCTCATCAGCCTGGATCAATACTCTCTTACTCATTGTTAAAAAGATTACCCTCAAAACGGGGCTTCAAATCAATGGAAGTGCATAAAAACTCAGGTTAACGCTCATGAAATGTTTGCTTTTACTCGAGGAAAATACAGTTACCATACCCGAGAATTTGCTTCTAAAATGGACCGATTTATAATTTTACTTTGTGTAGGTGAACCGTGGCCCACTTTGGCCAACTCTTGCGCACACCTATGAAAATACATTTGCGTGCCCCACAATTGTTCTGAATGGAATTACGAAAGACCAGTAAAAATAGTATGAAATCATGTATTTCCTCGGCATGTCCTTCGTCTTCTCTTCTTAAAGCTTCCAAGCAAATATATGCTCATTGCAAAAAGATTTGTACATTTTCTCATGGAAATTTGCAGCAGCAATCATAGTGATGAGCTAAAAATACAGAACTTCACGAAAAATTTTAAAGTCAGCAGGTAAAAAAAAGCATTATAATTATGTTCCATACTTCCTTGTGAGTGAAACGTATAATATTTGAGTCTAATGTGTGAAATAACACCGATTCACCGATTAGCCGCCAAACACTGCCGGAGACTTAAACGCTAGGATAAGAAAAAGCACGTTAGTGAATATTCGCTCAAATCATTAGAAATTCACGTAACATAGCCTCCTCGCATAGATTATACCCCCAAATGCCCCTTAAGAAAGGGTCTTCCGTTTAATAAATTGCACTTATTTTAATGAGAATAATACCGACACGGCGGCGAGGCGAGACTATACTCAATTACACGGACTAGCAAAAGTGTTCGCATTATAAAGTAACTCATCATCGAATCAATATCCAAATATCTTTCCGATCTTTTTTGTTTTGGCGAGCCACCGCTAATAACACCGTCTTCAAGAAAGATTAAATAACTTGTCTTCGATGTGGAGACAGCTTCTGAAAACGTTTTAAGACGATGTCTTACACGAGAAGTCAATTTTTTCTCCACGCCTCAAACCTGTTTCCGATAATGGACTCGCCGGCTCTCGGTCGACTGCATTCTGTGAGCACACGAACAAGATGTCTTTAACTTTATTTCATTTCCATAAATTAATCCTTTTTTGTCGTATTATTCATTCAATTAGTCACAATTAGTCCTGCATTTCAATCGATTTATGAACAGACCCACACGAGCCTCGAGGCTTAATTATTATTCGATAATAATCTATAGGTTCATTCTGATCAGTATATCAATCACTTAATTTTGGAACCACGTATCTCAATTTACGACGCTGCATTCTTCCCGTTAAGTACACTAAATTTTTTAGTCGGAAGTATTTGAGCAAAAAGGAACCGTGCAAGAATGAAGAAAGTCAAAACGAACTATAAAGCATGCAAATCCAAAGTTAGCGATTTTTTAATTCAATTCATTTGTACCAATAAAGCATTATTATTCACAATTCATAAAATATTACACGAATCGAAAGCACTTTGTTTACACTGATAAAAATGCGTACAAGTGTTCTTGTGCTACGTTTGGTTAATACAGGACGTAAAACACAAACCACCTTTATGTGCTGATTTCGGTACACTTTTCGGTGAATTTAGCGCAGAAAACAATGGAGAGACTGGGAAACCCCAGAGTCAGCCGAAGGCTTGGGTTGTTTTGTGTTTTATCTCCCGTAACAACCAAACTTTAGTGTTGAATTTTCTCTCTGTGTAGGCCCTCGGGCAATTTGCAATTTCTAAAAGATAGGTTCTAGCAGAATGCGGTAGAATCTGAATTCTTTCATGCAGGTACTCGTTTCCATTATGAATAGAGCGAGAAAGTGATTGTGTTGCAACGAAGATGACTTGTATGTGTGCCGCAACAAGTCTTATTGCGCGATGTATCGTTTTGTTCGCGTTTGAAGTCACCATACATCTTCATTTGAATAATGATTAATGTTCGACTTCTAATTTCTATTCTAGTGAGTGTCGTGTGATTTTTCTGATATTAATCAAGATATCACTAGCCGCACCTTATAGTCTATTCAGTTATACTCTCTACGCTCCCTACTGTAATTCTCCATCGATGTCTCGATCATCTCTGTTCAGCCCTGATTTTGTGCCCGAGCCCTTTAAATGTACTTCTTGTGACTTTTGTTGGTGACTACTCTATGGTGATACTGCAAGAATGCATATCTAAGTTTCCAATACTATAGACTTCCTGTCATAATTCATTTTTAAATGGAAAAATATTGAACAACATGGTTGAAAACTTGCTCAATTTATCATCTCTATCTGGAGAATATTCTGAGAAAATGTCAAGCAAAAGTGTTGGTACGTTTCTCTTTGATAAAAGTAAATGAGAGCAGAGATTTCAAAACACCGCGCATGAGACGCGCTTTTTTGCGATTTTACCGTCATATTGTGGTTTATACGTGCAATTTTCTTTAAAGTTGGACTCAGAGGTTTTTCATTTATCCTACAATCAATTACCAACTTTTTGGCAGGGACTTGTTGGAAATTATCATATTCAAGAAATGAAAATTTTAATTTTTTTCTGTGATTTTTAGTGTGTTTTTTGTCAATATTTTTAATGGTGTATAGTGGTAATAATGTGTAATTTATTTATAGTTCTTTCGCTCCTGAGTGAACAGAGTTGACGCCATTTCATGGTATTTTCCCAATTAAATCAGACCTTGCCGAATTTCCTTTCATACCTCGTTTTTTTTTTAGCGTAAAATGCTGACTAAAAAATGAGTGTCATTTTTCTGCATGCTCTGGAGAAAAATCAAAAGATATTTCGAGGCGTTATACAATTTTTTTTCAGAAAAAAAGTTTATAAAAAGGAGGAAGTTAGACCATAAGAAATGCAGTTAGGCCGATTTTACATAAATCGTCGTTTTTCGGGTATTTCCAATTCATGGTTGTAAAATTGACTAAAAAATTCGATTTTTTACAAAAATGTCCCTGTGCAATTTCTGTCCTAAAGTTTTCTGATTTTTGCCCAAGATCAGATGAAAAATCAGTGAAATTTTTTGTCAGGAATGCCGAATATTCTTTAGCTAAAATTTCTATTTTCGGAAGGAAATTTGGTAACATAGTAATGTAGTTCCAGTCTCTCGTAAGGCGGGGGAGACGACGAAATCTGTACATATACTTTATTAGAGACATATTTTTCATACACTCACTTGAGAGGTCACAAACTTGGCGGTCGAGTTCATTTCGAGATGTTCATCCACCTTGTCCTAATTTAAAATAATTGTCTGGAGCTCTAACGCAAACGGCTCGAGTTTTCAACGGTTCAGGAGTTCTTACACGCGCCGGGAGCGTGGATTACTAGATTAAAATTTTCTGGAAGAAAGAAACAGTTCCGGCAATCTCGCATGCAATTCTCAAAGCAAGATCTGACCTGTGAAAGAAAGGATAACTGTAACACTTCCATATGTACCAGTGGACAATTGTATTCCAGAGCGTAATAGAGGCGTCGAAATGTTCTTATTCGCATCAAATTAATATTCATTATTTTTTGTACCCGTTATATGCCTCTCTTGCCAAAGTTGAAGTCAGAGATGGGAATTACTGTTTCCTGACAGGGGACTGTAGGAGGTTTCTCTGTAAATCCGCTCGTTGTCGGTATTCTCCCACTATTGCGTGCTGTGTTCTCTTTGAAACGTATGATTTTGACTGAGAGCCGTTGTTTTGCGTTTCCTCCATTCAAATAAAGGGTGAATGATGAGAAAAGTCTCTTGGGATGTTGCAGATGAGCCTGTCATCTTTATCCCACGTCTTATCCACGTAATCCCCAAACCCTCTCAGTGTAATGGCAATAAAAATATTTTTCAGATGCAATACAAGCGCTGTTCAAATACATTTCAAAATCGTTTTTTACCATTATTTTACGAAATAACTTTGCATTTCGTCCAATTATTTCACCCAGTCACTTGTAAATGTATGTAAATGTGTTTAATGACCAGATGATACTCTATTTTGTAAATTGGTAATGCGAAGAGGAAATTAAATCTACAGGAAATGAAGTAAATTCCGAGTCCTTCTTTCGCAGATGAGCCCTGATCAAGTTCAATAATTATAGCGAATGTGATAATAATATGTGGTTAGGAGTGATGATACTCTCTCAAAGCTATCAGTCAGAAAATCATCAAATAGCACAATAAAAAGGCGCATAAAAATGTTGAAGCTTCCGAACTTTAAAAATTGTATTTGTGCATGCGGTTCTTATAGGCTAGAATTCATAATACTTGAGACTCTCCATATGCCTTTTTTCGTGAAATCACGCGGATGTTACCACCGTGGTATAGAATGTGCATCAGATATTACACTAAGAGGGTCTCTTCCGCTTCAAAACATACAATTTTCTCGAAATGCTCAAAAGTGAAATTAACGTAACCTGGCGGCTAAGACAATAAGTTATATAGCCGAGAAATGATTGTGGAGTTCATAAAATACCAGCAAAGAATGCGCTGAACGAGAGGGAAAATTTACTTGGTCAGAAGGGCTGGAAAGTGAGTAGGATGGCCAGGTCAGCGATTCTATTGTTTTGGTCGACCGGAAGACAATGATTACGCCCAATCCACCTGTTTACTTTTGCGTAAGAGTCAAGAATCATCGCCGGAAGTCTGAATTAACTGATTACAATCGAGGTTCTGTCTAAAACAAAATGCATCGCTCTTTCTGCTCGACGGACCGAGGTTTGCTTTGCGTGATCTCACCTAAAACTTAATCTCATTGTACATTCCGTAACAATTTTCGTATTTGCTCATTGTCTCTCGCAAAGGTCATCACCCAGGATGTCAATCATTGGATCTCATAGATCTCTTGCTGTATTCTCACTTTCAGAGACATAACGATGGGTAAAGGGCGAAACCTCGTATTTCCATTGCGGTGTTTCAGGATGTCCGTTTCTATTTTTTCGACGGTAAACAGGCCATTTTTATAGCTGAAAATCAATGAGGTCTTCAAGAAATTACATTGCATATTTTTTTCAAAATAAATGAATATAATAAAATAAAGAATGACAGAAGGTCTGCAACGTCGCAAACGGAGATACGTGGTTTCGCACTTTGGCCATCGATGTAAAAAAAAATTTGACGCACATCACCTCTGTGAGAAACTCAAAATATCGATTGAAATGACTTTGATTTCAATACTTGCATCGGTACATAATTGCTGATTATTGAAATACATGGATAAAGCCATAGACAAAGAGGACGAAGGGAATGGAGCACTCCTATTGCTTGAAATGGGTCGTCGTCAGGGAAAAATGGAGAAAATGATCGACTAACAGACTGTGCCAACAGATGACGCCAACATGGTATCAACAGTGTACCGTACGTTCGTGAATGAAACCAAAAAAGTCTGGGGATTGAATGTGGTAGCATGGAGACTTTAACGCGGGAGTAGAAAAAACGCCGGGTCCCAGATAATGGTCGTAGTCCATCGCAACACATACGTTTTTACAAATGGTAGGCGCACAAGTCGTATAGACATTAAACTATGCTAACATCCCTGTTAAAAACGATCATATAAGGGAATAAAACATGGCGATACGTTGATGCTAATATGGTGCCAACATATCGCTCCACTCGTATTATTTCTTACACGTTCCAACAAATTCGCCTTCGTTATCTCGATAGGATATGTGAGCGCCATAGGAGCAATAATGGTTGCACGCCGCATTTCAGCCACGATCCCTTCGTCTGTTCTTAGCTGTAGCGGGTTAATATACTTCACTCTCGATGTGTCTTCCTCGTTCCGATCAGTTCGCCTTCAATATCTCGATAGGCAATGTGAGCGGCTTGGGAGCAGTAATAGTTGCTCGCAACATTTTTGCCACGTTCAATCGGTTGCTCAGTACTCGGTCTGTGAAACAATGTTACTTTCCGTTATTACCTATCGTTTACTTGCTCTATTACATGAACTAACATGGAAATATATTCGCTCCTCTGACGTAAGGGCGTATCTCTAATTCCATATGAGCCCCGGAAAGCATAAGATCATACGAAGAACAGGGCTTACATGGAAATTTAGATACGCCTTTACGTCAGAGGGGCGACCATACATTGGTTTCATAGTTGTTTCTTAATGGCCAAGTTCACACCATGTTGCAGGTAACAATGCCAAATGTCACCAAGATGTTTATCTCTAGTTGAGTACGCTTGGTGACAAAATTGGAGGAGGGAAAAGGAAGAAGCGAAATATTTTGTCTTCGCTTAACGTTCAAAGCAATTTTAATTTATGCATGACGATGAATTTTACAATCGAATATAAATTGGATTAGGTATATTAGGGCCTTTTAAAAATTGCGGCCGAGATGGTCGTGGATACAGCACCGATACTGCCGTGAAGAAAAAAAACTTCGTATGAGCATTCTAATGTTGCCAAATTTCCTTTCAAAAAATACTTACATTTGAAGAAAGTTACAAATATTTTTACTTGAAATTTTCAGACTATTTAGATCAAACTACGAATAAAATTCTCTGAAAAATTGGATGAAAAATATTTACAAATTTTCCCATAAATTCTCAATTCGTCGAATGAAATTTGGCAACGGCAGAAGGCTCATACGGCGTTCTTCCTTAGCACCGCAGCATTGATGCAAGAAGAAAATCGGCGAGAGAATTCTGGGTGACCGAGATTTATGAGTTTTTCCTCTTATTTAATTAGACCAGACCTAAAAGAAGGACCAGGCTCTGACTTCATACCAGTTTCAGACAGTCAAGTTATGCTGAGGCCCAAAGAAGGCGGTCCATCGACCAGTCACTTTGACCGATTGACCAGAATTTTTAATGACTATTTTTAAATAATTTTCTTCGCTGGTTATCGTCTCTATCATTTGCCGTACACTCGCAGCTCGTTCGACCTCTCGAAAAAATCTTGGAATAGCTATACTCTTAAAATATTGCGATTTTTATCTGTATTCTACTCAGAGACGCGAGAAATGAAGACATTTTAGTGAATATATGTTCATCTTTGAGATGAAGTAGCATAGAGGGTTTTAAAAGTTAATGGATGGAATTTGTCGATTTAGTTCCATTAAGTTCATTATCCACAGTCTAAAACAATCTATTTTGATTGAATTAGTGTACAAGGAAGAAACAACCTGGCGCTGGGCCCTAACCTTCAGGTAAAATGGCGCCAACCATGCACAGGTTATGGTGTTGAGCCCCACAGCTTTAGGGTCCAGCCTTATTATAGCCTGTAAGTGTAAAGTGTAGGGCTCAGTGCTAAGTTTTTTCCCGTACAATTCTTTAGATAAGTAAAAATTGGAAAAGCTAGGCGTGGAAATGAACGGATGCCTGAGACAACTTGTCAGTTTTTGAAACAAGGACGTATCTGAATACCCACTCGAGCTCTGTTCTCCGCATAACCCCATACTTTCCGAGCCTCATGTTGAAATGCTGATACGCCCTTATGTTAGAAGAGCGACGAAAATAGTGCAACTTTGTAGAAGCTTTCTAACTCAAATACTATATGCGATCCTTTCGACTCGGGAATTCCTGAAGAGTGGTCCACCCCAAGTCACCAACCACCGATCTTCCTAAAATCTGCAGACCCTTTTGCCTTTTCCTCTACATCTCTTGATATCGAAGTGAAGGTAATTTAAAGGGCTTGGAGGACAAGGCGCAAAGGTGCAGTTTTTGCTACTTCGAGAAGTACGTGTTTGAACTTTCAAAATTACATGGATCCTTATGGCAGGAAGAAAGTTCAAACTGACTTTAAAGTGGAGAAACGCATTTTGCGTCACTAAACCTCAGTCTTGAATGTTGCGTTCTTTTCTTCTCCAATTTTCTCTACTTCAATTTTTATAGTAATGTATTGACTCGCGTTGCTTTGTTTGTTGTTATTATGCATTGCGATATTTCTTTATCTTGTTAAAGTTTCTGTGTTTCATGTTCATAATTTTATTCTTGTTGAAGATGGCATTTGTGAACCGAAATGCATTCAAGGAAAAGAAAATAAATATTTAGATCCCAATTCAAAATGCGTGTTTCGGTAAACGGTTTACTCTTTTATTATTTTATTTGACTCTCGATGCTTAAAAATTGGAATATGGGAGCGACTTTTTCATAGAATTTGCGATAAGAATATTTTTACTTGAAATCATTCGTATCTCATTTTTTTCAAAAATTGCATCTATAAGTGCCTTGTCCTCCAAGCCCCTCATTTTTACCATCTTCGTTTCTTAGATCTGAAATTATGCGCT